AGGTAAAAGCAAGTAGAGGCCATGGGCGCGGCGGCGGCGGCTGCGTGGGCTGCTCCCCTTTTCTTCCGAGGCAGCTGCATTGGGGCTGTGAGTTTGGAAATACCAGCACCAGCGCTGTGAGTTTGGAAATACCAGCTCTCGGTTGAGGAAACCTGTCTCAGTGCCTTGCAGTTTCACTGATTCTTTTGCCTATCCATGAGAGAAGTAGCTGTATTTGAATGTGTAGGCCTTTGGAGCCAACGGATCTCTTTCAGCTTTTCATCAGGGCTGACCCACGGTTCTTCCTACAGGAAAAACTATCGCTTTCTAATCCTAGCATTTTCTTTTCCTATTTGGAACAAGGAAAAACTCTTTAAAATTCTTTTCAAGTTCTGACTTAATTTGTTCTCTTAGTTTGGGATGCAGGGAGGTAATTACTGTGGTTTATTACCTTGTAAAAGATCCATAAATTATGTGCCTGTTTGGGGGAGGGGCTGCTGGAATAGCTTTCAGAAGCTTGGTATGAACAAATGAATTTGCTTTATTGTTTCAGGAATTACTTATTTTAAAAGAGTTTTTGAAATTTTGTTTTCTATTCCTTAGGTCTAAGTGCTCCCTAAAATTTGCTCCCCAGATAGATATCAACTTGTTAAATTAATTGCAACATGCTATTCAGTGGTGGTATGGTGCTCTAGATAAAATTATTATTTTATCAGATAGGAAGTCAACAGAATAATAGTAATAATATTTTCTCAGCAACTGTATATCTGTTCATATCAAATATAGATGGAACATTTTAGGAACTTGCAACTCGGTGTGTATACATGATTTGCATTTCTGCAAACAACAGAACAATTGCAGGTATAATAGCTGCAAGAGTTTGGGGCCATGTGTATAACATGATACACATATCCAGAGAATTTGGAGCCCATTTATACTGCAGTTGAGACCACAGGGAATATCTCATGTTAAATAATAATCTATCATCTACACACACACATACACACACACACACACTCAGTGGGCTGAGACCTGATGCTGAGTGGCAAAACCAATAGAGTCAACAAAAATGTTGAGTGTAGTTTTGATAGAGTTATCAGATTGCAGTATTTGAGTATAGATATAGCTAATCTGCTAACAGCCTTGCAAATATTGACTAAGGGTCTGTATCCTTGGTTGCCTGCTCCTTCCAAGCCAACTTTCTTCCTATTTTGGCTGGTGGCCTGGATCACAGCCTGGTCAAGTTGGAGGCTAGTGGGGTGAGTGGAGGGAGATTGGTAGCTGAGTTTTTAAAAGGCTTATAGCTTGGCTCCAGGAAAACAGAATTCAGAGTGGTGAAGGAAGACTCTCAGCTGTTAGGTCTTCTGTGAATTGCCCAGCTCAAAATCTGTCTTGTAGGGGTGGGGGGTGTCATTTTTACCTCAAAAGTTAAGTTCCTTTGGCTTTCCTTTTCCCTTCTCATCCTACCAAATCACTGCATCTCAAGTGCTTCATGTTAATTTTTAAACAGCAGTTTGATTATTAACTGGGATGGTAACTGCATAGAGGCTCTAGGATTGAGCTGAGATGCTTCTGGGCCCTGCTGGCATTAAGGTATTTCTCTGAAGCAGTACCAGTGCCTTCTGGCGTTGATTTATGGCCTCAAAAGTTTCAATTTGTCCAAAACTCTCCTGAGAGTTCTAAAGGGGGCCCCTTTTCATCTGTGGGTAGATGCTTCTATAGAAACTGAGGTGGGGGAAGTTGTCAGCAAGTGGGCAATACTTCCAAGTTCTTTCTAGGGTAGAGTGTTCAATGTGAATGAATGGAGGTTCATAAGGTGCAAGAGGCACAAGAATGAATGGACTAAGTCCTTGGGGGACAGGAGAATTCATTTGGAAACCAACCATGATCCTGTTCCCCATCTCCCAAATCTGAGAGAGGCAAGTTTTCACTTTGGGTTCTGACTTTTCAGCTTCTGATTTAGGTCAGATGTGGGAAAGGTCACATAGAGGTCCTCTTCCAGCTATACCACAAACAGAACCTTATGGCAACACTGCCACCAGCTTTGTCCAGGGCTTGCTTCTAAGGGCTTAGGTCTTTTATTGCCTGCCTGATTTGGACACCCCCATGACCAGGCCCCCTTACTAGGGTGTTATATTCTCATCAGACTCCTGTTCCCTTTCAAGGAAGGAAGGAAAGGGAGCATTCTGCAGCTGCTACAATTGAGTCCTAAGACTTAGAGATAACTAGCTTAAGACACACTCTTAAGGAACAAAAGAATATAGCTTGAGGAGCTCACTGGCCTTAGAGCACTCAAAGTTCAGAAACTAAGACCAGAAAAGGGAAACTTATTATTAGACAGCTTGTGAAGGGTTGAAGTATTGAAACGAATGGGCAGTGTCACCAAGCAAAAGGCACAAGTTGGGGTAAAGCCTGGGGTGCAGCTTATTTATTTTAACCAGATTCTTCCAGAACAGAATTGGTTCAGTTCAGTTTCTGCTGATAGATATGGAGTTGTGTTAGGGGAGGGTAGACAGACCCTCCTGCAGAGAGGGTCACAAGTTGTCTTATAGGTTAGCACAAAGGACCCCAGTGAAGGTTGGTACTTTCCCCCCATCCCTCTTGTAGAGGCATATAGATCATTTCCCCTTACATTTTTCTTCTAACAATTTTATGTAACACTCAGCTATGCACTGAGTAAATGTATAAGTGCAGATTTGGCCAGGGCATTATGTCCTCCAGATTTTTCAAAACTTTGACTCACTGCTTTAAAGCAAAGCATATCTTTGCTAGTAGGCGCCCATTGAACAGAACTGGCTGGACTTGGAGAAGAAGTTTTAACATTTTGTCAGGTAATCATTGGCCTTTTTTCGTGTCTCAAGTAGATATAGTACATTTTGTGGGTGTTACAAACTCCACTGGTCATGATAGGCCAGTTGTTTTCGGACTTCTCTCTTCCATATTCTGGCCTGTGGGCCAGAGGAGACAGGGGACTTGGGAGTGCTGAATTCAGTTTGTCTGCGGTGGTAGGAAGGTCATAAGGAAAGTTAAGTGGACTCTCAGAATATGGATAGCATTGCTGTTCCCTCATGTTTGGAGTGTGTTTTAAGAAATATAAGTGGAGATAAGCACCTTGTGTGGCATGTCTGTGTGTATGTAGTGGGGGTGGCCCCCAGCATCCTACTACTTAGTACACTTACTGACTACTGGTCAAGGTCCCCCTTTTCTCTTCCCCCAAAGCTAAATGTTTGGCTTGGAAACCTAGTTCCTTCAGTGATTCCCTATTTCAAATAAAAGGATTTAAGTTGACGTATGACCACGTGAGCACATAATACAGCACATTATTGTGGCATTTGGAGCGAAGACCCAGGCAGGCTTCGCCTGTGATTACGTTTTCTAGATTCTCTACAGAGAGAGAGAGCTTTTCCCCCACCCCCAAGTACCCACCTCCTCCTTCTCCTTCCCCTTCTCCGGAGAGTGCTCTTCCAGCGGGTTGCAGTTTTCAGTGCTCATGGAGCGGTTCTAGGAGAGCTAGCTGATGGGACTGGAGGCTACACCGAGAGGATGGAATTTATTTTAAGGTATTTCCGTTGATTGTTCATATCTAGAGTGAGTTATAGCTGTGAGAGACAAAGGTCAGGCGAGGAGACCCTGGATTATGGACAGGACCCTCAGCCTTTCTCTTCCTTTGTTTCTCTTTTGGAAATGAAACCGTTTGAAAGATTCCCAGTAGTACCTCAGACTCTGAGTTTAATTCCCTGGAAAATTGAGGGTTATAAAGAAAGGAATACTTGGGAGCTACTAGGTGGGCCCAGTAGTCTCCAGTATGGGGGTGGCTTTGTCCACTGCCAGGCTGGAGTCCCAGGAGCTCAGCCCCAAGCAGAGGGAGGGTCCTGAAGTGCCGGGCGGGCGCAGGCCGTGGTGGCGGAGCACAGAGCTGGAGGGCAAGACCTCATGGAAGGCATGGGGGACGGGTAGAGAAGAAGGGAAATATTTCCTAGGTCAGTAGTGTTTGCCGGTGGGGATGGAGGGTTAGGGCTGACCTGGGAAGCCTGAGCAGATGCAAGAGGAAAATCGATGGAGGAAATGTACAGATGCGCTGCCATTTTATTGATGATGCTTCCAGCCACTTTGTTCAGTGCTGGGTTGCAGGGCATGCTTCCCCACACGCTGGGACCTAAGGAGCCAACCCAGAGGGAGCGCCATTGTTTCCATGAGCACCGAGGAGCGAGCACTGTCTGCCTGGGAGGGATGGAAAAAGACAGCTCAGACCTTGGAGAGGCTAGGGGTGGTGGTGAGCATGCTGATTGCCTGGAGGCTGGGTTATTCTCACATTCAGAAGGGAGCTAGTACTATGTTTGGGTTTCATCGGTGTGTTCAGTGTGGGTGCTCCCTGAATACCCCCAAGCCAGGTTGAAGAGTTTAAGAACTGACCAGTGTGCCCTGAGTGGGACAAAAGTCTAGAGACAGAGTTATCAGGAAGCAGGGGCAGACATCTCTGGCTTCAGAGCCCCAGAAACAGAGTGGTTGCCAGGATGGAGGAAGATGAGAGTTAAACTGTGCATCCAAATTACAGGGAAAGCCTGAGCTAATTGGGCTTTGGGGACCCCACACTCCTGGGAAGAGTGAAAACTCCTTGAAAAGGTGGAAGAAATTCCACTTTCCTCTGTTCCATGGAGCAGGAAAAAAGGTGCCTGTGAGGAGTTAGGAATTGGATTTGCCTCTTTTACTTTTTTTTTTTAATCTCATTTCCTTAAAAAAAAATAAAACCAGACTTCCCCTACTTGAGTGGAATTTACTTCCCTAGAACAGAAGGGTTGATTCTACCCTTCCCTATGCCGGTCTCTGCCGTAACTGTTTAACTGAAGCCATTTCTGGTGCTCTAAAACACCCCTTGGAAATAAAATGTAAGCTTTAATTGCTGTTCAATTACTTGTCAGCATTTCATATGATTTATGACCCAGTTCTGGCACATTTTTGACCCAGTTAAAGACTCATAAATAATATAGTTTCGCTAGAAAGAATGAGAAAGGGAATAGAGGTTTGTTAGAGGCATCTTTTTATTGTCGCTTCAATGCCAGCAAACAGAATAAATATCTAACGATGGACTCTTGAGCTGGTTCTATATAAAAGCATGCACAGTGAGAAGAAGCCAATAGCTGCTTTTATAGAGCATGGGTTGGTTTATCCTCCCAGGAAAGAACTAAAACCACTCCATTATAGCTAAACTATCAGCTATTTTAAAAAGCCGGTCCCCTTCTACCTTCAAAATGCCAGCCTCACTCTCACAGGCAAGTATAATTCCTCAATGACTTTTCTCCCCATTCTGAGATTTCAATGCCTCTTCTTGCCCACAATTACCCCTCACCTTCTTCCCTGGTTGCACAGGTAGCCTTGGAGCCGCTGAGGCTCTCTCACAGATATGCAGGATATTGCCTTGCATGGTAGAAATGTACCACCAGGCACCTTTGTTGCTCCAAGTACTCTTCTACTGCTGAGAAAATGTTTTCTTCTAGTCCCCCTGGAAGAAAAATTAGGAACCATGGGGACTTGAGGTGAGTTCCAGGAGCCATTGGGTCCTCTCAGCAAAGAGAAGCTTGGTGAGTTTGAAGAAGCCGGGTGAATTGTTGAGGGATTTGCCTAGAAAGGGCACAGCCGGCAACGGGTAATTTCTGAAGGCAAAAATATTTTCTTTTAAAAAACAATAACAAACCAACAAACAACTTCAGCCATTATAAATTATTTTCAATCATCTTGCCTGCGCTTGCTCCAAAGCCAATCCTTTGGATTTCAGAAGAGAAGAATGAGGCCCGCCTGCCGGGGTGCCAGACCTTAGTCTTTAAGTCAGAGCCCCACTTCTGCCTGCCGGGCCTGTGACTCAGAAGCCACCTAGTCAAGGGCGGGTGGAGGCCCTGATCCGAGCTGAGTTCCCATCCCAGATCTCCCGGGCTCCTGCCTTTCCTCAGGTCCAGTCTCCGTGGTTTGCCCGGCTTGGTCTTGGCGTCCTGAGAAGGTATGGGCTCTAGGAGCCCCAGCCTCTGCTTGGGCGCCCTCAGTCCCCTCGGCCCTCTCGGCCCATCCCGTCCCCTCCCGGGGCAGGTTCTCACAGAGAGCCGGCCTTCTCTGCAGCTGGCTTAGCTGAGAGGGCGGTGAGAGTCGCGTCAGCAGTTTGGAGGAGAAAGTGCGGGTTGATTATTGACCCACGCCTTCTTTCTTCAAATGCCCTATCCGACTCGGCGGGTTTGAAGAGAAAATGCCGCGGAGCGGATTTTTGCGGCTGACTCTCACCTCCTACGCGGCTAGCTCCAGCTTTCAAGTTGTGCCACTGCAATATGCCATAAGGAGCAAGTGTTTGCTGTTTTGTGCTCTGTTTACAGCTTTGGGGCTCCGAGTCATAAATCTTGCCTGGCCATAAATGACAAAAACCATTGGTATGCATGAGGCCACCCTGGCCCAGAGTGCTTTTTGATTTCTCCCTTTCCCCTGGCTTTGTTTTTGCTCTAAGGTGACACTTTGGCTCCCTGACAGTTTAAACATACTACTTATATTTTTAACACCTTCCTTTGAGAAGGACCCGGCCATTGACGCCTTGGAATTGCAGGAAAGCTCCATTTCTCTCTTTTGCCACACTCATACATGTTGCAGAGTTTGCTTCTGAACCTATAGAGCTCAGGGAAGACTTGGGAGGAATATCATCCTTTTTAAAGTTATGACAATATTACCAGGCAAACTCGTGCCTTTTCTCAGCTCTCAGTTCAGTAAAGGAAGACCACTTTACTAACACGGGTTTTGGGGAGAGACATATCATGCATGTCCATTTGTGCTGGGATCAGAGTTTTATCGGTCTTCCCTGTAGGTGAGCTTCGTGTCTGTACTATTCAGTGGGCACTGGAGAGCTGCTAGGCACCCTTTCTTGTGCTTGAGCCCAGACACTCATTTCACCCCGGGTCAAATGTGTCTCTCCTCCAGGACACTTCCCTCCTGCCTACCAAAATGCCAAGAGTTTCTGCTTAAAAATATCACCAAAGAGACCAGTTGGCTCTTGAGAAGGTCTCTGGAGAAAGGCCCTATCCCAGCACCCTGAAGATTGGCTTTGGGGTGCCTGGATCAGGAGTGGCAGGTGAAGTAAACTCCCAAACTCTTGGGGGAACTCATTTCTGGTTCTCTCTTTACCTTTACCCTCACCCCTAACTGGAAATGACTAGGGGAGAGGGTTGTGTGGTTTCTCAAACGGATTCCTAAGAAATAGAGCCCAGCAAGAGAGCCCCTTTGTGAGAGCCGTTCGTCCTCATTAGCATAATTTTCCTAGACTTTAGTGACGCCTAGGAGCGAGGAGAGGGAGGGGTGGGGGGAGGCTGCCCTCCTCCCGCCGCCGAGCTCCCTCTCGCTCCTATCCCTCCCCTCGCCTCAGCCCCATCCCCCACGCCGGCCCGCGCTTCCCCTGCCGCCTTGGTCTTCCCTCCCGCCCGCCCCCAGCACCCCCACCGCACCCCCGACCAGACGTTGCTCCGCGTGTAATATTCATAAGAAACATACCCAAGTCGGTGCCACTAGCCCAGGCAGAGCCCGGCGCTGCGCTAGCGCTTATCTCCTGGCCGCGGCTGCTGCCCTCAGAAAGGGCAGGGGGCGGGGGTTGTGGGGGAGGGGTGGGCGGGTGGGGTGGGTGGGAGGGGGGTCCAAGCCGCCCCAGTCCGCCCTGGGCGAGCCGTGCCGGAGCAGCAAGGCGACCACGCTGTGTGCGGCGGCGTCCAGGCCTTGGGGTCTCCAGCCCGCCCGCCGTCTCGGCTGATGCTGAGGGTCGGTGCCCATCCCGCGCGAGGGGACCCGGCGGGGCAGCGGAGCCGGGCTGGGGGCTGGAGCCCGAGCCTGCGCTCGCGGCGCTCTTCAGAAGTTAAGGTAAGCAGGGGCTCAACCGGCCGCTCTGAGCGCTGAATGGCGGAGTTTACGTCTCGGTGATTTATAGCTGCAGACTTAAATCTCGGTTCAAGAAGAGTTCACAAGCCGGAGCTTCCTTCCCGGCAGTGACTGATACCCTTACACTTTGAGTTCAGGCCGCTTTCCCATCCCCGCCCCCACTCACCCCTCTCCCCTCATCTCGGCCTCAACTTTTCTGAGTCGGGAAAGGAGCTAGGGGGCAAGGGATGCAGGGGCTCTTTCTCGACTATCTTGTTCAAACTCGGGGTGAAAGCAGACTAAGAAAGGGACTGGAGTGGAAAAGGGGGCAGTATCTTGAGGAAGGAGGTCGAATTGGGGCATACCTTGCAGAGAGACAATAGCTCTTGTTGCCTGCACTGGATTTAGCCTCCTTCAGCTCCTGCACCTGGGGGTTATTGTCCAGAAACAGATCTTTGCAGAGGAAACTCCCTTAACTCCCAATCCTTGCTTGGGGGGTACAAAGCAAAGTTTCCTGGCTGGCAAATCTCCAACTTCTTTACTAGGTTGGAAACTTTGGGGGCTGAGTTGTGGGAGAATTGTGTGAGGTCCAAGGTGATTGCAGACCTCAAACAATAGGAAGGACTTTGGTGGGATCTTGGTGTTGAATGTATATTTTAAGTTTATGGGGGCTGTCATATGCTCTTTGATTTTTTTAAAAGGTATTTTCGTTATTTTACAAGACAATGCACAACTTGAAGAAAAGGCTTAAGTAAGCCGCAGGCCCCTGATAATGGATTAGCAAGTCACTAGAAACATTGCATGTTCAAAATTAACTTAATTTTGTTTTATCTAATATCTTGCTGTTCAAGTGTCTAGAATAATTTCTTGACCTGACGTTTTTACACAAGTCTGGTATCTAAAAAATTTTATAATGCCAGACATTAACACTGTCAAATGTAATAGGAACTGTTTTCAGCGAAAGAACAAGAAACCAAGACAGTAAATTGCTATTCAGTTTTAAATTTTACTTTATCCTTTATTTGCTTTCCACCATGGTATCTGTACCTGCTTATCTATTTCCAAAAGAATAACAGTACTCCAGGGCTCATGATTATGCACAGTAACTCCGGATAAGTGATGCTTTAATTTTTAATTGAGGTTCTGGAAAATTAATTGTGCCTGTTTTCCAGATGTTGGTCAGATTGTTGGTTTAATAATGAAATCTAAAGGAGTCCATTATTTAAAACAAAATTATAATCATCCACTGGTAGATGCTTATTAAATTATTTTTTCTAGTTAACATCTGCTATCCCTGGAAAACTTGAATAATTCTGGGATTTAATATACATAGTTGGGGCATGAAGTGTATACCATTTTCTTAAAGAATTATCATTACAATGTTAATAGAGGGACTTACATTTTGAATGTGTGATGTGTGTGAATATATGCAACTCATATGGAACTTTTCTTGTGAGAGCTAGAGGTTAAGCATGTAAAGGTTGAAAACAAAGAGTAAATGTCGATTTCATTTCTGCAAACTAAATTAAAAAGGGTTAAGGTTTTCACTTGCTTTTCAGATTGTTGTTACTCCTCACCTTTTCTTTTCTTTTCTTTCCTGGTAGTGTTGGAAATCAGGGACTCTTGCAAGATAGGCAAGTGCTCTACCACTGAGCTACATTCCCAGACTTTAGTGTTATCCTTTACTTGGTGTTTCTGAAGCAGGTAAATAGACCAAGTAACAAATATCAACAACAGCAGCACACAAAGATCAGGGAACTCTGGCAGGATTTTATGGCTTGTGCTTCCATGCCTCTTCCAGAGCCAAATGACCCCCATACATCAAATTACATAGCAGTTTCTAAGACAGAACCTATTATCGTTAAGTTGGAAAGAGAGTTCAAGCCGTGGTCATGGAGATGAACGCTGGTTTTTCAGGTTCCTGGTGGGCTGTTTTTTTCTCTAATCCATCATGTTTTAACAGGTAGAATTTGATCATTGCTCTGAATAACAGCACCTCAGAAAATCCAAGACAGGGGGATCTGGGAACTTGTAACTGGGGAAAGGAGGTGGGGGTGACTTGCTGCAAAGTGCCTGAGAAGTAGCAGAGGAAAAGAGTAAAGAACTGTCCATGATTTGAGTTGTGACTTGCTGGATAGGATGATGTTGTTGGTCCCTTCCTAACATACACACAGACCTGTGTTCCACCCAAACTTTTATCTCTGGGCTTCTTAGCCACAGGAGCTCATTTAGAGGAGGTGGGTCCTATCCCTGAACAAAGGTAGATTAACTGCCTAAAAAGCTCAGTTTCTGAAATCCAGCCTGGTCAGATAAGGCAATTGCTTACTTTGTGTGTGTGTGTGTGTGTGTGTGCAGAAACCTCTCTTGAGGACAGGAAGATCCAAGCAGGGGCTGGATGAGGAATAACCACATCTTATGGCTCTTTTTGGCAAGTGTCAGTACTAAAGTGGGGATTCCAGGAAAAAGCGGGAAGACCCCCAAGCTCCCCCTTGCCTTCTGGCTGGTTCTCCAAGATCCAGACAGGGGAGAGGCTTGGGGTCTCTGGATGATAGTAAAGGGACAGAGATGAAGGGGCACCCACGTTTCTTTCTCCCCATCCAAAAGAAAGATTACAGTCTTGTTCTTTCCAGCCTACCAGGCCTTTCTTGTTTTGGACCTCGGCTCCAGAGACTCAGCTTCCAGCCTCAGTCATTCTCCTTTCTCTCCCCGGAAAATCCCCCAACTCCAGACGCAAGTTAAGCAAATATTTGTAGCTGCCAGTAAATTCCAGCGGCTTTTTATAGTGCGGCTCCCTGCGCCCGGGGCCAAGTCGTGCTGCTAAATATTGCTGACCACTTTTTCTTTTATGGCTTTCATGTCACTTAGCTATTGAGAGTAAGATGGATTTGCGCGGAGCCCTCACCGCGCTGCGCTTCTCGCCCCCCTCCCAGGTCTGCGGCAAGCGGCCATTGGCGGCGGAGCGTCACGTGACCTCGGGGGCGTGCCAATGTGCGCCCTTACGGGTGTCAAGCCCCTGTCAGAGTGTGCGATCAAGATTGTGAGACAACGCGATGCAAAAAGCGACCTACTACGACAGCTCGGCGATCTACGGTGGCTACCCCTACCAGGCAGCCAACGGGTTTGCTTATAATGCCAGTCAGCAGCCATATGCGGCATCCGCCGCTCTGGGTTCTGATGGCGAGTATCACAGACCTGCTTGCTCACTCCAGTCTCCCGCCAGCGCCAGCGCAGGGGGCCATCCAAAGGCGCATGAACTGAGCGAAGCGTGCCTGCGCACCTTGAGCGGCCAGTCCAGCCAGCCCCCAGGCCTGGGTGACCCGGCTCTGCCCCCACCGCCACCCCAGGTTGCACCCCCTGCCCCACAGCCTCCCCAGCCCCCACCGCAGCCCCCTGCACCCACCCCTGCGGCTCCCCCGCCCCCTTCTTCTGTCTCCCCTCCTCAGAATGCCAACGGCAACCCCACCCCTGCCAGCGCAGCCAAGAGCCCCCTGCTCAACTCGCCCACCATGGCCAAACAAATCTTCCCTTGGATGAAAGAGTCGAGGCAAAACACAAAGCAGAAAACCAGCGGCTCCAGCTCAGGTAAAGGGGTGCTTTCTGGAGGAGGCTCCAAGCCACTTCCAGCCACAGCCAGCAGAGTGTAGAACATTTCCAGAAATCCACTGCTCCCACTCTCCTTCCTTCCCACCTCAAAGTTTTCCAGAATCTTGGCAATTTAAGGAGGTGATAAGGCCTCTGTGTACCAGGAACCCCCAGACACAGACCTGATGGGAGTCTCTCTGGACCTCCCCAAGAGCAAGTGGAGACTAATGAAGTTGGAATCCCTCCATTTCACTTTTGGAGTTCTGATCTCTAGGCAGAACCATCCTCAGCTTCACGGTTTCTCTTTTAGCACAGCTCCTGTATTCTAATGAAACAGTGACATCCTCCCCATATTGAAATGTGGCAGAATAAAAGCAGGCCTAGTCACCCTCCAAGTCAGATTCAATGCTTTGTCTATGATCAGAGCCATTTTTGCTCCAGCAGATGGAGTGGCTACCTCACCTCTGGGAAGGCTTTGCTCAGACTTAGTTACAATGAAGGCAGCCAGGGATTTCCTGGGGGAGGGGATTCAGCTTGTCATCTTAATGGGAACCACATGGGCCTCCTGGAACTGGAGGCCAATGGAGGAAAGGCCCCAGGCCTTGGGCTTCCTAGCATCTTGGCTACCTTTGCCCCTGCCCTCTCTAGTTGCCAGTGCTCTGCTCCAAGCCTGAGCATCTGGGGCCTCCAGAGCCAGGATTTGGGGGCCAAGGAGGACAGGAGGGCATAACACTTGTGGACAAAGCTCTAGTAGGCTGCTTAATGACATGGGGAGCTCTAATGGATAGGTCATCATGAGGGACCTGAGCCTCCCCACCAGAAATGGATAGCATCAAGGATATCTCTTCTGGGCAAAAGCCT